TTCATGGTGCAAAATTAAGAATAATAACTTTTACTTTATACTACCTGGATATAAAAAATCATTCTTTTTGCACATCATGTTGTAGATAAGCTCTTTGAAACTTAAGTTCACGGTCTTCTGATAAGTTATTTTACTCGAACTACAACAGAGTTGTGAAATTCTCACTAAAAATCCTTAGGCCATTGAAAAAACATGTGTCTTGAAATTCAATTTAATTATCTTTTTAAAGAATATAATATATTCGTCTTAGAAAGCTTTTAAATGTAAAAAGTCAATTTTAAAGACAATTTACTTCTGATAGAAATTATGAAAACATATGTTTGTGGTTTTCGTAAAACAACTTTCCTGCTGAAAATTATACGCTCAGATAGAGATTGTGGGTCACGGACATTGCGCAATCTTATATTCCACTCTCTGAAGGAACTATCTTGATTTTATTTGATTTATTTTGTCATAAAACTGATTTTCGGAAAAGCATTACCTGCGCACGTGTCCTTGAACTCCAGAATTCCTTCCCCACACTTAAGTATACATTTTTGAACAGTAAATAAAACCACCAGAAAAGCGTATTACTACTACTACATTTGCAAATCAAAAAGTTTCACTCCAGAGTAACAGAAAACATATTCAAACACAATAGCGACCTACACCGCCAACTCTACTACTACCACAACTAGCATAAGAAGAGATCAATCAAACGTGCGCATACTGGTGCTATTTCTACGTTATCTTCTACAAGGTTTAGTTCATTTTACTTCAACCAAAGTAAACTGAGCAAGTGTTTTTTAATTCGCTAATTAGAATATTTGAAGAATAAAATGAAGAATATTTGAAAACACTATATTTATCGTTGATTTTAAATTATTCACTTTTAAAATGCATCAGTTCAGTTAGTAATGGAACGCTTCATTTCACCCACAGTGATGCACATGATAGTTTCAGGGAAAAAATGTAAAACAAAAGTTGTTAAATATGACAGTCAAGTCAATGTAATTGTGAGAATCGAAATCTTCCTTCTGGGCATTTCGCCCTGAAGAAGGTCTAACAGCCGAAACCGCATCTGTGCGTAGAAAGCGGCATCTCTCGGATCCCAAGTATGCAAACAGCGAACGGATTCATTCCCTGAAGCGAAACTTTGAGAAAGCGCATCTTTCATTTCCGAATCTTTTGTAATGCTTTGTCGGAATCATAAAATTCAACAAACTATACTTTTAGAATGATTATTTAATCACCAAAAATTGATTCACATGATTCCAAAACATTATTGACAAGAAGTAAGAATTTTACAAGGGGATATGTTCGTGTCTCTAACAACATTTTTCAGTACTCTATCATTTCGTAGGTGTCAGAAG